TATATTGATTAAAAAAATCAAAATAAGAAAAATCAGAAGATTTATGTTCCATTTATAATTGTTATTATAAGATATATATTAAAATAAATTACCATTTAAAAATATATATTAGATATTAAAAACATGTTTATATCATAAACAAATTAAACTTGATTTTTATAAAATTTAACATATTTATTTTATATTTTTAATAGTGTTAAATTATTATAAAGTAGATCTTTAGATTGTAGTTCTAACCAAAAATTTAAAAAATGTCTATGATAGATAAATAAGTCATACTTAGAATATATATTTTTAAATAAACTTAGGTTCAAACTTATTAAATTATAATAAAATTTAGTCTAATCTAATTTATTTTTAAAATTTACTTGTAATCGTAAATATAAAAGCTTGTAAAAAATAATTATGATATATATATTTGTGCTTTTAAAAGTTATATATGTAAAAAAATTTAATACTACAAATATATGAATAAGTATTGTCCCCACTATCTTAAATTTCTGGATCTGTCACTGAATATATGTATGTTTTTATATTTTAATTATGATTTAATTTTAAAATTTTATATTTTAATTTTTTAAAAATTCATTTTAGTATTTTAAATGATGAATTTTGAACTAGATTTTTTTTAAACATTCTTTAACTTATTTTGATTATTATAATTTTAAAGATGGTGTAATTTTTTACATAATAAATTATACATTGCAATTAAATTTTATTTTATCATTTAATTAAATTTTATTTGGCACTGTATTTTTTAATAAAATTGTACTCATAATAAATACAACAATAGATAAATACAACAATATTAAAAGTTAACATTATTTGACTCGGTTAGAACTTTCCAAATGAAGAGGACATTTGTTTTTTTCTTAACACCAAGATGTTTGACAAAGGAAAGAACATTTTGGTTGCTCCCATTTCCTTATATTCCTTATGTCCTAAGGGAAAGCTATGAAGCCCTAACTGGTAAATTATCATCATCAAAATCATATAAGCTTGGAAAACAAAAAATAAACATACTATAAAAAAAACATATTTTAGCACAAAAAATATCAAAATGAATATTTAAAATAAAAAATATTTGATTTTGAAAATTATATAAAAAAAAACTAAAATTGTGTTGTGACAGTGATATTTGTGGTGAAAGTAATGGTTGACAAAACTCTACTTCAATCTCAATATTTTATTTATTTTCTCAAGGTTACATAAGAACGTGTTTGGACACATGCACTTAAAGTAAAAAAATGTTAGAATTTTAAAAATATAATCGTAAAAATAAAAAAAAAATACTAACGAAAAAGAAAAAATAAATACAATATATGACGAATAGTGAAAAAAAAATTGTTGATGTATCTCAAAGTTTAAATTGTAAATCTCTTGTATAAAGTTTGTAAGTTATTTGATTTATAAATATCAGCAAATATTTCGTGCTTTTGTGTATTTTATTTTAAAAAAATAATTGAAATTGATTATGTGTATGTGATGAACAATTAAAAGATGTGGATAGTTTTTAATATTATCTATGATAAATGTGAAAAAAAAAATTAAATAAAAAATATAGAAGAGAAAGAGC